ACACACACACACACACGCTCACACACACACACACACACTCACTCACTCACTCACTCACTCACACACACACGGTCACACACACTCACACTCTCTCACACACACACATACACACACACACACACAGATCTTCATCGTTGTGCTTCTGTCGCTCTCAGGTTGCGTATTCAGCCCTCCAGTCCTCCTCCTACGCATCCCAACAACCACCTCTTCAGGCCAGCCAATCAGAGTCCTCCGGGGAGTCAGGGGATGATGCAGGCACACGGTCAGTGTGGGTCAGCGGGAGGGAGCTGTCGTGTGATTGACATGCAGTCGCTCGTGACGTTGATATGTTAAACTCCTCCCACAGGCGGGCCGTCTGCGGTTCAGTTTCAGCATGGCTCCGCCGTCTACCAGTCTCCCAGCGCCAGCCCTCCCTCCACCAGCCTCCCCCGCATGGCGCTGCCCAATCAGCAGCCTCCACCAGGCTCCGCCCGCTCTCTAGCGCAGACCCTCCCACAGCAGCAGCAGCAGGTGACCATTCAGGTGCAGGAGGTGGAGCTCGGGGGCGGAGCCCAGCGGCAGGGTTTCCTAGCAACACCGCCTCACAGAGTTCTGGGGAAGCAGCTGAGCGCAGATAATGCGGAAACACACAGGTGACGCGAGCGCCGCGGAAACGCTTGACGCTCTGTTACGCCGCGATTATTGTGTCCTTTTCATTTGTTTAGTGGTTTTTGGTTGTCATAAAAAAAAAATCTAATTATTTATTGTTTTTATGTTCTTGTAAATTTGAATCAGTGCTGTTTATGTTTGTTTAAATGCAGTTCAGCATGTTTAGTGTTTGTAGATGATTTGAATGAATCTGTTGTGGAAATGATTTGTGTAAATATTGAGAGGTTCTCCCAGACGACAGTATATCAGTCCAGACGATTGACCGCCGGCCGTTTGAGGTACTTGCTGGTGAAGGCCAGTGCTAGCGGTAGATGTGTGTCCTGTCGCGTTCACTGGGGATCACTCCAAGTCGGTCTGCGCTCCAGTGGATTAGAGACGGGATGATGATTAGATGCTCAGTGCTGTTATTAGATGAGCGCAGTGATTCCCAACACTGAGCGCTTCACTGGGAGCAGTGCTGAGAACCACTGGATTCACGCCACCTACATTTTGGATATCAGTGTTGTGTATTTTTAAGTCAACATGAAATCAGTATTCAGTGTAAAAAAATTAATCTTTGAAATTTACAGTAAAAAGCACCAGCTGTTGGCAATGTTTTAAGTTTCACAGATTTAACTTAAATTTACAAATAAAAAACCTTCACTGAAATAGTGTTAATATACCAAATTACTCAAATCTGTTTTGTAATATATTGATAAACACTGTAAAATCACAGGTGGTGAAGAGAAATCACATGATGAGCTGTCACACAGAATTCTGGGAATGTCATTTTACATTTTTTCCGTCAATTATAAGATGATTTGTTCTTTTTCACTTCTAAAAACTGTACATTACAGTATTTTACTCTAAAATTGCATGAAATCCCATTAGAATTAACCAGTGAACACGTCTTTACTAAAGCGTGTTTGCAGTCTGTGATCATTTTTGCATTGTTGGCAGTGTACGAAAAATCACATTTGTTTTCACAGTCTTTCATCAGAATGTAATAATGCTGCTGTAGGCAACTAACCCTGATGTTAACCAGTAGTCATCTAGCTGTTTAGCTATGGTCAAATCAGTTCTAAAAGCTAGTTAATGTAATCGGGACACATCCCGATCAGATCTGAAACACCATCACATTCCATTAGGGCTGGAAAAATGTCTGAAAAAGTAAACTTAATAATAATATTCAAATTGTAAAAACACTTTATTTTAAAGGAGAAAAAGTACTGTATTTTCGAATTAGCGAATATAAACCAAATCAAGCACCGCATTTTTTTTAATATGATAAAACAGACGCTTCAGCAGACGGTGTAATGTATTCACTCTGTTTCTCCACCATTTTCAGAATTAATTCCGCATCTGATGGGTTGGATAGGCTAACAAAAACTACGTCGTCATCATGTCTCACGCCTTCTGACATACCAAAAATTTGGATGCACAGCTTTTGCATTTCAATGTGCTTTTTTTTTTAATTCAATGAATATTTGAAATTTTATCTAAGTTGACTGTTTCATGTTGACTTTAGAACTCTCTGTTAGAGGGGTGGAGTCAGACTCATAGACTCCTCCCATATAGTGGTAGTAGGGGGTGTGGTTATGCTAATTAGAGTCTGTTATCTCACAGTCGTTCTCGTGTTTGTGTTGCAGTCGCAGTTTGAGTCGCTTCCACACTTCCGCGTACGAGCAGTTTAACCCGCACATGTTCGGCGAGGGCGGTGTGAGCGGCGTCATCGGCACCTATAACCCCTACATGCAGGGGGTGTCTCTGAAGGTGCCGGGGCTGGAGGGCTATCAGGGCTATCCGTCTGCACTGCAGCAGGCTCTGCTCTCTCCCACACCGCTGGAGTACCGGCCGGCCCAGCAACACGTCACGCCGACCCTGCAGGGGCTGCTCTCGCCGCGGCACTCGCTCACGGGACACACCGACCCTCGCCTGCCTCCGCAGGACCTCGCCGCGCTGCTCAAACGCCAGAGCCTTCACCCGGCCCCGCCCACAGCCACGCCCACCAACCCGCAGGGCTACGGAGAGATGCTGCTGCTGCAGCAACTGGGCCAAGCCGCCGACAGCTTAGAGCCCGCCCCTCCGCAAGCCCCGCCCACACAGCACTACCATCACCTGCTCCAAATCAGGACCCCGGCCGAGTGCCCCGCCCCGCCCCTCCCTCACTCAGAGAGCATGGAGGAGGACGACGAGATGCCGGCCTATCACGAGGGCCTGCTGGCCAAAGCCGCCGCCCCCTGCGCTGAGGGACACGAGCTGCTGGCTCCGCCCCCTGGCAGCACGCCGCCATACTCCTCCCCCACACACAGACACGCCTACATGCACAGCACCACGGCAACCAGAGGTACTCCAGCACTCACAGCACATTCACACGCACATTTACTCTGTTTCAGTGTGTTTGCTTACAATATTGCCAAAGATTTAAACACAAATCAAGTCAAATTCATTTATATAGTGCTTTTAATAGGAGCTTTACAAAAATATACTATATAAGAATGACAAATGACAAAAAATAGCATTAAAATAAGGTGCTATGTAATTAATAAAAATATTTATATTCTATTTCAAATAAATGCTGTTCTTCTGAACTTTCTGTTCATCTGTGAATCCTGAAAAATAAAATGTATCTCAGTTTCCACAAAAATATTGTGCAGCACAACTGTTTTCAACATTGATAATAAATCAGCATATTATACTGATTTCTGAAGATCATGACACTGAAGACTGGAGTAATGATGCTGAAAATTCAGCTTTGATCACAGAAATAAATTACAGTTTAACAGAGATTCACATTATACATTACATTATAATAATATTTCACTATTTTTACTGTATTTTTGATCAAATAAATGCAGCCTTGATGAGCAGAAGAGACTTCTTTCAAAAACATTAAAAAGTCTTATTTAATGATTTAAATCAGCATACATGACAAATATAACTTGTATAAAAACTTCCCTGAAGAAGTGTGTATCATATCAAAGTGAAGAGTTTTGTGGGTTAATATGCTCATGAAAATAATGTTGCAATGCAAACAAAATGAAATCAGTGTATTCTTCTGTTGATTGTTGTTTATTTGCGCTGCTGCTGCTGGTGTTGAGTGTGTCGTTGTGTCTCAGAGGCGTGTGCTGATGCTGCAGAGTGTCGAGTGATGGAGGGAGATCATAACGGTTACAGCTCATGCGCCGCGCAGGGAGACACTTACAGACCGCGAGCATCATTACAGAGACACCACACCATCCAGACCTGCGACGATGCTTACGTGAGTGTGTGTGTGTGTGTGTGTGTGTGTGTGTGAGTGAGTGTGAGTGTGAGTGTGTGTGATAGAGTGAGAGTGTGTGTGTGTGTGTGACGCAGCTCCAACACTGACCTCTTGACCTCCTCTTCCTGTAGGAGCAGGTGGAGCCCATGTCTGGAATGAGCTTATTGGCTGGGAAGGCGCTAAGCTCCGCCCGCATGTCAGACATCCTCAGCCAATCGTCTCTGACAGGAAGCCAGCAGCTGCAGCAGAGGGAGGGGTCAGGTGTGTAAACGCACACTACAGACACGCACACACGTGTTCGCACTCACTGACGGAGTTGTGTGTGTGTTTAGCGTGTGACGTGGAGGCAGACGTTCACCCCGCACACTCACACTCACTCACACACACTCACTCACTCACACTCACTCACACTCACTCACACTCACACACACTCACTCTCACACACACTCACTCACACTCACACACACACTCACTCTCACACACACTCACTCACACTCACACTCACTCACACACACTCACTCACTCACACTCACTCACACTCACTCACACTCACACACACTCACTCTCACACACACTCACTCACACTCACACTCACTCACACACACTCACTCACTCACACTCACTCACACTCACTCACACTCACACACACTCACTCTCACACACACTCACTCACACTCACACTCACTCACACACACTCACTCACTCACACACACTCTCACTCACTCACTCACTCACTCACTCACACACACACACACACACACACACACACACACTCACATGAAGCCATACATACACCATAAATCTTATATTCTTAAGTTAATTATCCTATCACTCAGCTCTGAACTGATCAATGTGGACAATTAACGAATTACGAACATTAACATGATTATTTTCTGTGTATTGTGAAAAGTGATTAGACCCTATTTAAGGCCCGTTCCCACAAAGGATGATTACTATGACCATAAAGATATCGTTTGAAAAATGATGCTAAGTTTAAAAGAGAAGCAAAGTTCACATCTCAGCTTTAATGATGACGACACAGAGGAGCGAGAACGTTGGAAACACTTGCAGCATGATGTTTTCCAGCTGATGAAAGATTAAAAACATCAACAACCAATCAGAATCCATCTGGCTTTTTAGGTGCGGTGTGTAATACTGACAGCTAGTGGTTAAAATGGGCACTGCAGTCTAAATTCAAAATATCGGAGAGAGTCGTTTCTCCCATTTCTCTCCTCAGACTCAATGCTCACATGGGTTGCCAGATTGAGGACACAGAACAGAAATGAGTGTGATTAACAATGAACACTTGATGAGTTGATTTATCTGTGTTTAATATTCCTCTGCTCGTAGAGCTTTTTTGATGGACGCCGAGGCTTTTTAGGTCAGGTGGAATCTGGCATCCCTGACTCTGAAATACTATTGGTTCAACTGTCAGTGGGCGGAGTCACACGGACCGAAACAATAACACATTCCACCACAGCATGCTTCAAAGCAGAATAACTGACTGTAGTGTTGTTTCTCTGAGAACTTAGCTTGGCTGCCAAATATTTCATGTTTTAGTAATTTTATGCTTTAGTACAGTCAAAAAAATTACATAAAGCAACAAACGACAACTGCAGCATGCTTACAACAAGCAGAACATGATGGTATGCTGGTGATATAGTAATCGTTCTCGGTGTGAACGGGTGTCAGCACGGTTCGGTCTGAAACTTTAATGCGTGTTTGTGTGTTTTTCTCTCTCAGGGGTGTATTTGCTGTATAAAGCTCATATCCGTCTGCTGTGTTGTGCTGTCATGCCAAATCCTCATCGTCTGTCTGTCGGGGTGCCGTGGGTGTGGCCTGCACGAAGGGGGCGGAGCTCTCGGCTTCCTCTTCCATGCCGCTGGGAGTGTCTGATTGGCTGCAGCCCCTCCCGCACCCCAAGCCCCTCCTACTGTTGCCATAGCAGCGCTCTCCCGCACTCCAATGTGCAAGGCAAACACAGAGTCTTACGTAAACACACACACACACACACACACACACACACACACACACACACACACACACGAAGAGACGTCATTACCAAACACCACAAACCCAAAGTATTTCACGTGAAGCCTGCGCCGCGGCGGATCATTCCGGTCACGATCGACCCCTTCCGCCGGGACAGCTGACTCCCCCTCGCTCTCCACTTTCTTCACTTCTGTTTTTATTTTTAACGCATTTTTATGGCTAATGTTCTGTAGGAATTATGATCATCATTATTCTTGTTTTCTGTAAAAACGTTATGACATTATTAAAAGAATGACGATTATTATTAAAACCGTTCTATGTTGCAAGAGAACAGCCGTGTTTGTTTCCTCACGGTGATTTTTGCACTTTCAGTTTTTGTGACTTTGGTTTCTGTTTTGCTTTTCCTCGCTGTTTCTCGTTCTCCTTCATTCCGTCCGTCCGTCCGTCGACAGGTGCATTGTGGGTAGTTTGACAGATCCTGTACTGCCCACAGATGATCTTCTTTTCTGTTTCAGAGCTTTATTGGTTATTTTTTGTGGATGTTGTTGGGAAAGCTTTTGTATATTGTTGATTTTGCGGTTTTATTTCTGTTCTGATGTCCAGTCGATGTTTTTAGCCAAATGTACAGACAGACGGACAGACGCTTCGTTTCACGTCTCTGAGTTTAAAGCCCAAACGCGCTGATATTGGACAATTTCTGCCGCCGTTTCATCTTCAGTCTGACCAATCCAATAACTGTCATGTGATCGTCTGAGAGACGGGTGCGAGTCTGTGATGAAGAGCACCATCCTCCTCCTCCTCATCCTCCGTCTGTCCATCATGTTGAGCTTTGTCATTTTCTTCCAGGTTTTTTTTTTTTTTTTGCTGTTTTTGGAAAAAATACTAAAGTGTAACAACAATGGTTAAAAAAAAGATTACAAACAAACTGAGAGAAATAATAAATATATATAAATAAAGAAATGAATATGACAGAAGCGAGTGTGAGTGTGTTCTTTCAGAGCGTGTCAGACGGGAATACCGCGGTATCAGACGTTAATACCGCGGTACCGGAGCTCAGCTGGAGCTCGTGAGCAGATCAGGCTGAATCTGCGTCAGAACCAGAAAACAGCTTCATGATGCTCTACACGTTCACCAATGTGTTTATGAAGCACTTTTGCGACTGTTATTTATGCGACTGCAGCTGCTTTACGGCTGAAACTGAATTGGTTTCATAACTGATGATTTTTTTCACTGTTATTTTCCTGTATATTGTTTTAGATTACTCTGAACAAACGTTCTGTTAATGTTACTTGGAGGAAAGTTTGTTTATCATTTAGAAAACCTCAACAGATCGTTAGTCAAAGTTAGAATGAGAGATGCTTTGAATAAAAGTAGCTCGTTCCTTCAGTTAGCGTTACCAGCTTCATCTCGGGACAGATTCTGAAGTTCAGAAGGGAAACGGCTTGTTATCACGCGGTGTTTTTGTACGCATGAACCTCTGGGTTTTTTCTTCCTCATCGTGAGCTCTGTGTGCAGCTGCTCGTGTCTGAATGTGAATCTGCACTGCAGAGGCTCCGCAGACCTGACGAGTCAAGCTCAGAGTGACGGGGTCAGATCTGAGCTCCCCCACTCCACCCAGAGTAATCACAGAATCACAGTAAACACAAGCACCACCCCCCGTTCTGCGTCAGTGTGTGTGTGTGTGTAGGTGACTATGCCCCGTGTGTGTTTGAGACAGAGGGTGCGTCTGTCTGCTTTATTCATTCACACCATGACCTGGGTCTGCTCCGGTAAGACCAAATAAACACACTCTCTCACACAAACACACCCACCCTCTCACTCTCACACAAACACACACACTCTCACTCACAAACACGCACACACTCTCACACACACACACGCACACGCTCTCGCTCACTCACAAACACACGCACACTCTCTCACTCTCACACAAACACACTCTCACTCTCACACGCACACACTCTCACACACACAAGCACACTCTCACTCTCGCACGCACACACTCTCACACACACACACACGCACACTCTCACTCTCACGCACACTCTCTCACTCACACACGCACACGCGCACACTCTCTCACTCACACACGCACACGCGCACACTCTCTCACTCACACACGCACACGCGCACACTCTCTCACTCACACACGCACACGCGCACACTCTCTCACTCACACACGCACACGCGCACACTCTCTCACTCACACACGCACACGCGCACACTCTCTCACTCACACACGCACACGCGCACACTCTCTCACTCACACACGCACACGCGCACACTCTCTCACTCACACACGCACACGCGCACACTCTCTCACTCACACACGCACACGCGCACACTCTCTCACTCACACACGCACACGCGCACACTCTCTCACTCACACACGCACACGCGCACACTCTCTCACTCACACACGCACACGCGCACACTCTCTCACTCACACACGCACACGCGCACACTCTCTCACTCACACACGCACACGCGCACACTCTCTCACTCACACACGCACACGCGCACACTCTCTCACTCACACACGCACACGCGCACACTCTCTCACTCACACACGCACACGCGCACACTCTCTCACTCACACACGCACACGCGCACACTCTCTCACTCACACACGCACACGCGCACACTCTCTCACTCACACACGCACACGCGCACACTCTCTCACTCACACACGCACACGCGCACACTCTCTCACTCACACACGCACACGCGCACACTCTCTCACTCACACACGCACACGCGCACACTCTCTCACTCACACACGCACACGCGCACACTCTCTCACTCACACACGCACACGCGCACACTCTCTCACTCACACACGCACACGCGCACACTCTCTCACTCACACACGCACACGCGCACACTCTCTCACTCACACACGCACACGCGCACACTCTCTCACTCACACACGCACACGCGCACACTCTCTCACTCACACACGCACACGCGCACACTCTCTCACTCACACACGCACACGCGCACACTCTCTCACTCACACACGCACACGCGCACACTCTCTCACTCACACACGCACACGCGCACACTCTCTCACTCACACACGCACACGCGCACACTCTCTCACTCACACACGCACACGCGCACACTCTCTCACTCACACACGCACACGCGCACACTCTCTCACTCACACACGCACACGCGCACACTCTCTCACTCACACACGCACACGCGCACACTCTCTCACTCACACACGCACACGCGCACACTCTCTCACTCACACACGCACACGCGCACACTCTCTCACTCACACACGCACACGCGCACACTCTCTCACTCACACACGCACACGCGCACACTCTCTCACTCACACACGCACACGCGCACACTCTCTCA